GTTGAAAAACACTGAAAATGCAAACAAAAATTACAATTTTAATGTTCGTCTCTTGAATTAATGTTGTCTCTATATTCATTCATCATAGCTTCGGCTTCTTCGTCGAACTGCGGTTGACCTCTAGCTGGAGGTGGCTGTGGGAGTCGAAACCCGCACAATCAAAACTTGTAGAGATTTTTGTAGGGAACTGAATTTCTATGGTTACGTAAAGAGAATCGGAACTTGTTCTTTTACTGTTAAGAAAGCTTTATTGTATAAGTCTCTGTGTAATGATTTTCGGATCCCCTTCTTAAGGGTTGTACATGAGTATATATAGTAATCTAAGTYGGTTTATTYTATTCCTTGATCATAACGGAAATCCTTTTCTTTCTCTTGCAATTTCCATTCTTCCTTAGGTTGCTCGTGTCGGTCCCTTGTTGGGCCTTGTTTCGTCCCATTTCGATCCAACACCACCTAGCCCGGCGATCTTTGTTCCCGGACTGACCACTCGACATCGGTACCACGACCACTCGACATCGGTCCACCACTTGATATCGGTACCACGACCACTCGACATCGATCCTGCGACGTCGTGACAACGGTACCACGTTGTCGTGACATCGGTACCAAATCACGTCTTGGTTAGCCTCCACTTCGGACCACATCGGTGTMGTGTCGCGGTAAACCTCCRCTTCGGAYCTCATCGGAGTCGTGTYGCGGTACGTGATCGACTTCGGCGCCACTCGCGTTGTGGTACGCGATCGTCCTCGCGTCACGATGCGCAATCGTCCTCGCGTCACGGTACGCGATCGTCCGCGGTACCTTCGGTCGCGGTATGCGATCGTCCTCGGTGCCTTAGGTCGCGGTACGCATATGTTGTGACATCGGTACCGCGATGTCGTACCATCGGTCCCGCGACATCGTGACATCGGGATCGCGACGTCGCGACATTGGTTCCGCAATGGTGCGACATCGGTTCCACGATGCGGTTTTCATACTTAGCCATCTTAGTACTGTTATTTTTCCAGGGAGAGATTCGACCCCAACAGTTTGCCCCCCAGCTCGGTACTATGGAAATAGTGGCGAAGCGGTTTGTGTTAATCAGGTGATTTGCAGTCATAAATAACCGTTCAATTAAGTTAATTTTTTGACCAATGATGACTGGGCCCCGCGAACAGTCCTTTTGCTTTTGGTTGTTGAATTACCTCAGTGTCTTCTGGACATAACGTTACTAGTTTTTCTGATGCTTCTGCTGCTACCGGACGTTTCCCAAGAAATAGTAAATTCATCTTCTCCTATAAATACTCCACTCCTCCCTCATTCTTCCTTCACTCTCTACTTCTCCACTCTCTCTCTAGAAGGTAACTCCTCTCTCTCTACAATCTTCTCCA